CTTCTTTGACCTCATGTCTTTCATCATAATTATTAAGGATATAAAATATATACAATTATATATTGCTTATTTTCAGATCACTTAAAAAAATAAGAGTTAAATCTGGTGTCCTGCAGAGTGCCTAGACTCTATTAAATACTTAGTACAATTTGTTGACTGAGTCAGAGGGAATGGTGTGGGCCTGTTATCCCAGAAATTTGGGAGACTAAGTCAGGAAGATCACAAGTTCAAGGCCAAATCAGCAACTTAGCAAGATTCTATCTCAAAGTAAAGAATAAAGAACTAGGTATGTAGCTCAGTGACAAAAATGGTCCTGGGTTCAACCCCCACCCCCACCCCCCAAAAAATTGTTGTTTAGATGAAATGAGATAATGAAAACGAGGTAATTCTGCAAATAAGAATAACAGAATTATAAAGTCCATATTAAACATATAAAGCTAAGAGTTATATAATCACTGATTTAACTAAATATTTACAGACTTACTTTGTATTTAATTAGAAAATTCAGCAAATTCCATACCTCAGCAGCTTCTTTACTGTATAACTAAAGCCACAGTGTCAGTCAGATTTTAGTCTGTGGAACAAATACCTGAGAAAAGGTTCTTAAAGAGAGGAAATATTTTATTTTTCCTGGCAGTAGCTTCAGTCTACAATCAGCTGGTTCCATTACCCTGAGCCTGAGGTACGACAGAACATCATGGTGGCAGATAAAGCTGTTCAAGAGGCAGGAAATTGAGTCCCTTGCTTTTGCCTCAATTTTTTTGCCCCTTAATCTGCAGGAAATCGAGGCCAAAACAGGGGACTCAATTTCCTTAACTCCAACTAGGTAAGCAACCATGCCATTATATCCTCCACGTATCCATGCAGTTCCCCTTCTGTTACATTACATTCACTTTTCACTAGCTCTGGGCCCACTGTGCTCACTCCAATAAGCTTCCTTTTAAAAAGCAATTTTCCCAGCCAAGTGCAGTGGCGCAGGCCAATAGTCCCAGCGGCCTGGCACCAAGCAAGCCAGTGAGACCCTGCCTTTAAATAAAATGCAAAATAGGGCTGGGGATGTGGCCCGGTAACCGAGTACCCCTGAGTTCAATACCCAGTACCAATAAAATAAAATGAGCTGAGGATAATAGTTCAGTGGTAAGCATCCTTAGTTCAATTTCCAGTAAAAAAAAAAAAAAAAGGAATTTTCCTGAAGCCTTGCCTGGCTTAAGTCAACAGGTATGCAACAGGAGAAATGCAAGGTCCAAAATACAAACAAGAACACAAGTTACCTGTCAAACAGGCCAAAACAACCTACAGCTATCAGGCACATTAAAGACTTGAAAGTCTAATGTCTTCTGTTGTCAATCAAAAGTCAAAAGGTGGACCTGAGTGGACATCTCTGGAAATTTCCTGGGACTCCCGATAAAGGGCAGGAGAAGCTCATACCACCTCTACGAGAGGGTCCACTCTTTCCTTTAAGAGTGTCCCCTTTTCCCTTTTCCTATTCCTTCTAATAAACTCATGCCTACTACTTCAAGTACCATGAAGGAAATCTTTCTGACATGATTTCAAGAACCAATAAAGAGGCCACCTTCACAGGTTCCTCAGCTCTGTGCTGCCCATCCATGCCTTGTCAGTACCATTTAACTTCGAGGAGAACTTCTTTCAGAACTGGAATCCATTCTTTCAAATTCTTCTGTTTTACCAACTAAGTCTGTATCGTATTCCAGATACTTTTTTGTCATTTTATCAATCTTCACAGCATAATTTCTAAGAGTACACTCCCTCTCAAGAAACCATTTTCTTTTCTCAGCCATGAGAAACAATTTCTCATCTGTTGAAGTTTTATCATGAGATTGCTGCAATTCAGTCTTTTCTTCAGAATCTAAGTCTACTTCTATTGTTATTTGCACATCTTAAGTTTTTTCCTTCACTGAATTCTTCAAGTCCTCAAAGTCATGCATGAGAGTTGGAATTAACTTCTTATAAATTCATGTGAATTGTGATATTCTGACCTGTTTCTGTGAATCAAAAGTTTCTTCATGGCATCTAGAACTGTGAATCCTTTCTAGCTTTTCAATTTACTT